TTCAGATTGGGCTATGCACCCGGTGTGGGATCTTGGCATGTCCCTTAACTTACTTGGCCTCAGTGCTTCCTTTGTAAAACAGAGGGTCATGAGAAGATGCCCAGAGGTGATAATTACTCTGGGGGACCAGTTTCTGTCCGGAGGGTAGAGGGGCCCATTGTCCCACCTGGATTGTATTCGACAGGGAGGAGCTCAGTCTTCTAAAAAGTGAAATGTTTGGGGGTCTCACACCTTCCATCTACTAACAATGAGGGTGCCGGGATCCACAAATGGAGGCCATAGAATTCTGCTACCCAGTGACTTGGAGTGTTGTCCCCCTTTGGTTACTAGGTTACTTGAGTTTCTGTCCCAGGTAGGGAATTTGCAGAGTAGTTGTTTGTTGTTTCTCTGTTTAGAGGTGGTTGGTGTGGAGGTGCTGTTTCTTTGGATGGAGGAGCCTGCCCTCCGATGAGTATGGGTGAGGAGGGCCCTCTGGGTGGAGCACAGTGTGAGTGTATAGAGGGAAGGAAGTAGACTGAGGTCCTGGGACTTGTGAGGGGAAAGAGAAAGTCTTGGAAAGGCAGCCTGGACTTGAGCAGTAGAACTCTCAGCGGCTCTTAGAATAAGAGGTCAGTGTAATCCCTCACTTAGGAGCCCTGACACAGGAGGATTACCGTGAGTTCAAAGCCAGCCTGGGCTACATGGTGAGTTGAAGAGCAGACTGAATTACATCATGAGACCCTGTCTCACAAAAAAAGAAGTGGGATTAAATGACTTCTCAGCCCCCTTCCAGCTCACAGATTATGAGTTGACTTCATTTCCCTGCCTTCAGTGAGTAACACTGCAAACACAAGCATCAGATGGGCTCAGGCTTGAATGTGACTCACTGAACTGAGTCCCGGGTTGCTGGGCCCTAGACACCCAGATCACAATCAGCTCCTTCCCAGGCCTGGAAACCACAAGGGCTCCTCCAGTTCTCCTGTCCTGGTTTCCATAGGCACACACAGTGCAGGAATGGTTCAGGCCCCACAGAGTCCTGCTGGGCTCCGGATTTCAGATACTATCAGGGCCTCCCAGGGTCCACCGACAATAGACCAACACAAAAGATTTTAAGAGACCTCGCCTCACAGGTTCCCCCAGCAGATGGAAGAGCACTGCTGAGTGCGTTTCTGTTTGGGAGAGAGGCACAAGGGGAGCCACACCTAGATTCTAAAGTGTGGGTGGATGGTATCAATGCACAGTAGCACAGGTGTTGGAGCAGCCTCCACCCCTCTTATAGCAAGGTTCCTGGCTTTCTCATCCATGAAATTTGGCAAGGGCTGTCAGGGCTGGGGCTGGTGGCTGGTGGCTGGTAATAATGTCAACAATGCTGCTGTCAAGGTGAAGCTTAAATACTCCATCCAGGGAAGCTCCAGCTGTGGGCCACTGCAGAGGCCACAGCTTGCAAGTCAGCTTGGAGGCTCTGGGAGGGAAAGGACAAGCCCAGCAAAGCTCCTGACACCCCTAGTCTCTGAGTAAGTAGAAGGCGAATACCTGATTAAAAAGGAGAGGTGGGTGGGAAGCTGGAATCACTGAGGATGACTGGAGGAAGACAAAGGTCTCTGGAATTTGGCTTTAGAGAGGGAAAGGAGGGATGAAGCGGGAATGACTGTTGAACACCTGCTCTGGAGGACAGATGTTATGGCTGCCACTTCACCTGAGCCAGTCTCTTAAATCACAGCCAGAATTTTATCTCAGTTCATGAGCAGAGGTTTGAGAAGCTAAGTGTGTTGCACCAGAACAGACCATGTGCAAGTGAAAAAACCAGGGTTGAAACCTTCCACTTCTAATTTATCTATGTTAAGCTGTTCCTTACTCTTTCATAGAGAAGACCAAGGCCCAGAACAGCAAACTCACAGCTTACAGAAGGCAAACGAGGGCTAGAACCAGGACTATGGCCTCATTGCTTTATTCTTCCTACTCCTTTGCGGACATGACTTTCTCCTGTGATATGGAGCTGTCGCTCATGCCTCTCAGCAGCACATCCTATTTCCATTGAGCGAGGACTCTCCCTACCCTGTGGCCCTCATCTTCTCCCTCATCTACCCATATAGCCTTTTCAGGGAAGGCAGACATCTGGCTCACAGCCGGCCTGAGTGTGGCCCATGCATCCCTACGGTGGAGAATGTGGGCTTCATGTGTGTTTATTTTTCTTTTCCCCACTGTAACTAAGTTGGAAAATGAGGCTGATGTATGAAGGCCCAGCCAGAGAGTGGGCAGGAGTCCTGTTTCTGTTACTAGCTTCAGCTTTGCCATTGCCGTGCTCTCTGTCTGGGTCCAGTGCACACGTCTATAATATGGGGTTGTGCAGATGACACCCAAGATCATCTCCCAGTGCCGACCTTCTAGAAATCAATGTAAAATAGCTTGGAGTTGTGGCACATCTCTGTCATCCCACTACTATAGACGTTTGAGCCCAGCATGCACAACTTAGTAAGATCTTGTCAGGAAGAAAAAAAGAGTCTGTGGTTATAGCTCAGTGTTAAAGACCTGGGTTCAGTCCCCAGTACTGAAAAAAAAATACATAAAAAAGAAATCTGTGTAAAATAGGTCACTACCGGAAGAGTCAAATATGCTTCTCCATGTACTGAGCTCTAAAAATTAAATATGCATAAAATATTTTGATGTTTAAATCAACTTACACATTTTATATTCTCTTTATTTTTACATACCGAATTTTTAAAAGTTTTCAGTTTATGGGAAAATATATTTTCCTTTTAAATGTACAGAATTTCATGCTGCTGTTGTTATTCTCATTTATTTTTAAAATAAAAATTAATTAAAAACAAAAAATGGGTTGAGCCAAATGGTCTAAATATAAAAATATTTTCCAGAAGTCCCCTGTTTACCTACACCTTGTGATGGTTAGTTCTATGTGTCAACTTGGTAGGGATATGGTACCCATCTGCATTGCCAAATACTGTACACATGTTGCCTTGAAAGTATTTGTGGATGTGTGAACTCCTATAATGAGCTGACTTTGAGTAAAGCAACTTACCCTCCATAACATTGGTAGACCTCATCCAATTGTTGAGGGCTTTAAGAACAGACTGAGGCTTCTCAAGCAAGAGATCCTGCCCCAAGGCTCATCATAGAAACCTTGTCTGGGTTTGAGTCTCCAGCATGCCAGTCAGCTGCCTGAGTTTTGGACTTGCAAGCTTCAACAGCCCATAAGCCAATTCCTTAAAAGAAATCAGTTTTCCTTCCTACTACTTATCTCTGCCTTATTGGTTCTGTTTCTCTTTAGATCCCTAATAGACATCTGCTAAATTTACAGATTTTTTTCCCACTAGAAATGTTATAAAATTTATTATTCTTGCACTTATTTTTAGTAGCATTGTCCTCATTTTCTGGCTATGCCGTGATGTGGGTAAAGTGCAGGACTCATTGACCTGGGTGTGAAGAGTTCAGCCATGCTGTACGCTGTCAGTCTAGGGCAGGTATACTTCCTTCCTGCCCTGGTCTCCTTGTCTATGAAGCAGGGGCACAGAGCAGACATGTGGTGAGATTATTCCTTCCTTAGTTGTTGCTGGAGGTCAAGTGAGATGCCTTAACCACTTGTCACATAACAGGATTGAATAAAAATGAACACTTGCAATGTTATTACTGTGACTCCTCCTCTTCCCTTCCTTCCATTACAATTATTAATTGGAGCCAAATGACACATACAGAGCACTGAGCAGCTTTCCAGCCCATGCTGGAGACTCAGTGGTGGGAGATGATAGTCAATGTCCTTATCCTTCAGGAGCTCAGAGTCAATTGAGAGGAGAAAGTTTCACATGCTCTGTGAGCCACAAGACATGGTGGTATAAATCAACACACTCCCACGACTTCAAGGCCCAGCTAAATCCTGTCTCCTTCAGGAAACTTTCCAGATCCCCATATTGGAAATTAATCTCTTGACTTCCATGTCCCAGGGCCTTTGGTTTGTACCTTTCCTACAGTACTTACCACTATTTACCTTGTATTAGAGTGATTTATGCACATGTCAACCTCTCCCACTTGAATGTGAGTTCCTGAGGACAGAAATATTTATGAAAGGCCTTCCTGTGACTTTGGCTAGTGTATGAAGGACCAACATAATAACATCAATAATCTGCCTCACATTTTAAGATGATTTGGGGATAAAACAATTAAAATTCAAGTAATTTAAGAAATTATCTCACATAGTAATTCTCATAGCTAGCGTCTTTTTTCATGTCATTTTATAGATGCTACACAGAAGGCAAAGAGCTTGATGTGAACCTGTACAAGGTCATAGAAGTTCACGGCAGGGCCAAACCCTGAACTTGGCCTATTTTTACTCAGCAGTCTAAGGCTGGCACTTAACTGCTGTGACTGTTTTGCATATTCTTAGTCCCATTAAATCACCCTGAGTGAGCAGTTCCACGTTCTGTGAGCATAAGCAGTTTGGCTTCATTGTCACAAGTGTGGTTTAGTGAGTTCTCTCCCTGTTTAGACATAAAACGAAGCCAGATGAAACAAATTGCATCTTTTAACTGTCTTTCCAGTCTGGTTGTGACTCCTGCTCTGATGATTTTAGTTTGGCAGGGGCTGGTCTGTAGCAATTTTCCCAACAAAACCATGTGGCTTCTGAGTGAATAGGGTTGGGTGTGCTTGAACACCAGTCTTTCCACCCTTGCTCCCTTGGACTTCTTAAGGCCTTGGGACAACACCAAGAGACAAGCTCAGTTATCTACTTTTGACAGATACTCTCACTGAGGTTTTGAGAGGTGGAGTGAGTTAGTGCCCAAGGCTACTCATCACCAGCAATCATCAAACTCTTGTCTGTCCTGATGCTAAAGACCTTCTATTACTCCTGTCTTGGATTTCCTTCCTCGACTGAGAGGAACTGGGGAAGGGATGCTTTGTTTTCCTAACAGAATCATTACATAGTGTGTACATCATGACCCAAAGTATTACCTGAGATGAGTACACACGGCTGTCTGTATGGTTGATGTGATTATTTTTTCCCTCTGCAGCCACACCTTGCCAACGAGGACTGACTGAAACCCTTCATTCTCTGAACTCATGCATTTGCTTGTGGAGTGACTCACGTGGAATGTCCTTTTCTTATATCAGTAACTAGGCTTCCACCATTCTGTCAAGACTCTGCTGGATTGGATGTGTGAATCAGTTGAACTGAACTAAAGCAAATTTATACTTTGGCAAGATCAGCTTTCATACAAGGAGCAGTGGAAGAAAAGTCAAAAAAAGGTAATGAATAATGAATGGATAATGAATAATGAATGATTTAGATTTAAGATGTTTCCCAAAGTCTCATCTATTCAGAAGAGGGGTTTTTGGAAGGTGATTGGATCATGCTAGCATTATCTTCATTAGGGGATTAATCCACTGATGAGGTCATGACTGCATGTGATTTTGCTAGTGGATCATGGATAGAGGTGGGTTATATGAGACATGACCTGGAAGGTTTTATTCTTGTCCTCAGCCCCTCCCTTCTCTCTCTACTTCCTGGTTTCTGTAGATTGAGCAGCTTTCCTTTGCTATGTTTTTTCACATGCTGTGTCTGGTTGGAAGTCAGCTGACCATGGACTGAATTCCCCCAAACCATGAGTCAAACTAAACCTCTCTTCTTTTAAGTTGTGAGTGTTGTGTATATTGTATTAGCAATGGGAAAGTGACTAATAGAGACATGGAAAGTATGAGAGTTGGTGAATTCTAGGTCTCCCATGGAATTTGAATATTCTTTGGTGGACAGTGAAAAGGCAGAGTTTTTGAGCAGATAGGACACATGCTATGGCTTATATGTCAGGAAGATAAATCTGGTAGGAGAAAGTAAATGTCTGAAGGCTGCTTAATGGAATATTAAAACAGTTTAGTTATAAGGTGATGAAAAAAAAAATAAGGTGATGAGGCTCTGAGCCAGCAAAGTATCTGTACGTAGAAGAGGATTAGAAGAGAGGTAATTTGGATAGGGTAGGCTAGAGTTATTCCCACTGAAGTCTCAGTAAAATATGGCACAATGCAGAAGAAAGCATATGGAATGAAGTAGGCATTCATGGGTTATGAATTTCCACTCAACAACCTTAACCCCAGTGGCACTGGGCAGGTCATATAAACTCACTGAGGTTGTTTCTTTATCTTTTAAATAGTAGCATTAGTGACCACTCATAGAACTGTTGTGAGAGTCAACATAAGTGACAGATGCACAAAAGTAGCCACACAGTACATGACCAGTTAGTCACTACCATCATAAAAGGTGGTAGGAAGACACCTCATCTAAACTGTCAGCTAGAACTATTACACTTCTGCCTCTTATCAGCTGTTTGAACTTCAGCATATGACCAGGCCTAAGTGACTTTCCATAACATGGGAATAATAATGGCTTGCTCAGATCTGTAATGCTTACTAAATACAAGGAGATAAATATGTGTGAAGTGGTCAGCTTGTCATGGGCACATATGAAGCACTTGTGTAAAGAGTCGTTCATATTTTTATCACTATTAGTGACTGATGGACACACTGCTTGCTGGCAGAGCCAATTTCCTGCTACATTTTGGCCTTTTCTCTCATATTATGGAAACTCTAAAAGCCAAATACTCTCTTTCCCAGCCTGCTTTGCAGCTAGGAGTGTGGAAGTGACCATGTGACAGAGATCTGAGTAACAATGCATGAGCATAAGTGTATTGCGATGATTCTGGGTAAGTTTCTATTTTCCTGATTCAAGGAAAAGGGCTAGTTACTGTGGCCTAGCCCTATCTGTTCCTTACTCCTGTCTGAAGTGCAGGTTGATGCCTGGCACTGAGGCAACCAATCTGTAACAATGAAGAGAAGCCCAAGAGAGTTATGAAGATCTCAGTCCAACACTGGGAAGTTACCCCTCTACACCAATGATGAAGCATTTAGTCAGACTTCCTGTTATGTAAGAAGAACACGTCCTCATGCTGGAGTCACTGGAGTGTGTGGATGTCCTTCACGCATGCAGCTGAGTGCAGTCTGGTCTAGCTAATATAAGAGGTAGGGGAAAAAACAGCAGAATTAAGCAATTGGAATAGCATCAGTTCAACTAAAGGAAAATTTTCTATGCATTCCACATAGGCTCTGTGCTTTCCTTCCTCTCAGAGGCATCCGACTACCTGTCCCCTCTCCTCACCAGTGCGGCTTCTCCAACCCTGTCTTTCTGTGCATCAGTTCTCCAAAGCACAGCCCAAAGCTCGCTCATCTGTGCGTCATCTCCATCTCTCTGTGTTCAGTGAATCATGCTTTACATTTCTGTGTTAAGCACTTTGCTTTTTAATTGTCAAATGGTGATGCTGTGTGCTCTTAGTGCCCCTAGCTTCCGTCCTCCAACAGAAAGTAAACTCCTTTGTAGACACCGGTTCTGCGTGAAATAGGACATGCAAAATTTGTTGCATAAGCTTATAAAAGAGAGGTATTATTATTATTATTATTTCGTACTTCACATGTTTGGGCTATTCATTCCACAGATATACACCAGGAAGCCGCTGTATTTATCATCACGTGTAACACCTTCAACTCTGATGACTAACAGACTGGAGTATTTGGGACAATTTACTGAGTTTCTTTATCTTTCAAGTAGGGACAATAGGACAGTAACAGGAATATTAAGAGGAATAATTCAGTTAAATAAAACAGTATCAGGCATGCAGCAATTACTTACTGTTATAATTATTTACCAGGTGACCGTTCTCTAACTATATACATGTTCCTACCAGACAGCAGCAGTTAACAAGTGTTAAATAAACAACTTGTGAATAACTTGTGTATATACACCTCTGAAACATTTAAAAAAAACTCCAAATGAAACTAATTTAAATTCATATATACTTAAGCATATTAATGTTCATGAATAATTCAAATTAACAAATATGTGTTTTTAAATTGATTTTCTTTGGAGATTACACTGAGAATTTCACAACAGCTCTTGAACTAATTGAAGAAGCACTGGCAACTACTACCAAGCCAGAAACGGGAAGAACCTCATTCAACTAGGAATCGGTCCCTTTACCATCCCGCAAGTGCCAGCTTTCTGACTGCGGTGGCCAGAAGGCTCCACCTACTAGGCCTGCAGAGTGAAAGTTAACTTTTTACTCTGGCCCGCCACTGGGACATTTGGTTTGACAAGACAAGCAGCACTAACTTCCTTCAGGACCACCTGCCCAAGCTTAGGCCCTGCCTGAGAGGGCATGAGATTATATTCATATCCCCGTCACTTGCTCTATTTGTCACTGCTTTGGACCACAGTTCACCATGTAAAAAATAGAGAAGTGAGTTTCTCTCATACTGAGTGACTGTGAACTCAGATGAGTTGATCGAGTCACATGCCTAGTACAGAGCCGAGCACCCTGCACATGCTCTGTCGATGCGACCTGCGCATCATCCCAGGTCACCTGCAAGACCAGTCACACTGTGCTCCCCAACAGGCTCCTTCACCATGGCACAGGTTTGCACCTGCTCCTTATGCTACATAGTCCTTTTCTTTCTTTCTGGATCAATTTCTATGAATTTTTTAAGAGTCACCACGAATGACCCTTGTGAAGTGTGTGGCATATTACGACCATACATTCTCAGAGTTCCCAAGTTATGGGGACCAAACAACTAAATAATTGTACAAACAATCGTAGCAGAAAATCCCATGAGCAAACCACTAGAAGGACGCCTTTCCAAAGTGTTCATCTGCGATGCTGGTCTGAGATTTGTGACACGACTTTCCATTTAGTGCTCAAATGAAGTGAGTACTCGAAAACAGCTTGGGAAGAGAATCCTGCTGTATCAGATAGCTGCTGAGTCAGTGAGGGGATTGATATTTGTAAAGTACCTACTATGTGTTGGGGCTGCAGGAGTGCTACACATGTTCTCAGTGTTCATCCTTACTACAACTGTGTCAAGGAGATAGTGGCTTTTATTTTACATGGGGCAGATGAAGCACAGAGATGTCATGTTATTTGCCTGAGGTTGCAGACCTACTAAGTAGGGCCTCTACACTTGAACTCAGGTTTTTGGTGATTGAGTTTGCATGTTTTTAAAGGTTTTGCTGGAGGAGATACTGCAGTGTGGAGTTAGGGGTAGGTAGAAGATATAGTGAAGGTGAAGGCAGCAGGAAAGCCAAACTCCATATCCTTGCCAATCTTATGAAGAGCTGAACTGGATGAAATCCCTGTCAGGTATACATTAATAACCGAGAGGAGCACACTTCTGTGTAGACTTATTTTATTGCAGAGTGGGGAATCACTGGGTTTTGGTAACACAGAAGTGTTTCACCAGGAAAATAAGAATCTTATCATCTTGCTCATATGAATTCATACTGAATTACACATGGGGTGTTGTAAAGTTTGCTTTACAATCTGCCATTCCTGAATCAGAATCCAAATTCCAACATGGTGTTATCAGACTTTAGGCAAGTGATTCGACCTTGGAGTCTCAGTCGTTTTATTTACAAAATGGGATTATTAACAGCATGAACTCAGAGGACTAACGATAGACCACAAAACGAGGCAAGACTAGGAGAGCACAGATTAGCTTTCATTTAAATTGTGACACTTGAGAAGTGTGTGTGTGTGTGTGTGTGTGTGTGTGTGTATGTGTGTGTAGTTCTGTGAAGAATTATGCTAGGACAATAGGTGTCAATTGGTAACACTCTGAGCAGACTGGATTGTATGTTCACGCCAGGCTTGATGTATAAGAAGTGTCTAACTCAGTGCCTCACATCTAGCAAGCACCTGTAAAGCTGTTTCATAATTGCATTTTAATCACAATTCCCAAATTAAGTTACATTGCACCACTTAAAATTTTCTGAACATGTTACACTTGCAGGCAGTGACACCTCGGCCAGGGTTCAATTAGTCAGCATGTATTCATAGTCTCAAGTCTGGCAGACCAGTGCACGTGTAGGGACTAATCAGAAGGGTCTGAGAGGCTTCTTAGTGTAATAGGGAGAAGACATCTTAACAGGGTTTGTTCAAAGGGAAGAGAAGGCAGCTATGTACTGTAATCTATTTAAACACAAACAGAGAATACAGAAGCTTCAGATCAGAAGATGAGAGCAGGAAAGTAAGGAAGCAGAAGGGGACAAGTTAGAACAGTCCGTTCATCAGTCACTGTCTGCTGAGAGGTGAAAGGAGAGACACCAAAATATCCAGCAAGATGATGCACCTTCCACACTGCTGAAAGTACTGTGGTGGATTTAGCAGCGGATGAAGGTGGAAATCCTGGCATTTTGTTCTTCCAACCAG